TGATCGGGGATTATAAAAGTTATATCATTATTTTTTTGGATTAATTTATAAAAATTATAATAATTAAAGTTGAAAATAATGAAACATTTGATCGATTTGTCAAAAAAATCCTTAAAAAAAGACAAAAATAACATTTTGAAATAAATAAATCAGGGATTATGAGGATTGACTAAGATGAGGCACTCACGGGGTTTTGCACCCAACGTGAGGTGCCGATTAGGGATTCATCAGTCCGGTCCTAGTGAGAATGTTATTATAGTATTTTCGTTCTCTGCCCGGTCCGCACTACGTCCTTTAACTATTATGGTATATCTAAATGCATGAAATTTTAATGATAATTTCTATCAGATGTAAAACTACCCCAGGATCATCAACAAATTGGGAAAGTCGCCGGCAAACTTACCACTCGCGTGATTAATACCAACTGAACGGCATACCGATATTATATTATAATTACACAAAACGTAGTACGTAGTACGCGCCCTCAATCATCTTTCGTTCGGATGGTTAGGTATTTATTAAAATAGTACAGTATACTGACGTACGATAATTGGGCAAAATTTTGGTAGTGCGTACGTACGTTAAACAAAATAAATTTTTTAGACTAGTACAAACGAATATTTTAGTAAATTCGATGCTTCTTCTTTAATACATGAGTGACATCAAGAAAAAAACCAAACTTTGTTATAAAACACCGGATTTAATCCTTGAATAACATGTATAATTAAGACGTTAAATCGTCGTTAAATTATAAATTTACAAACTCGATTCCTGATTTCTCTTGGTGTCACTCACATATTAATATTCAGTTTTTTTTATAATAAACATACAGTCAGACCTCCCTAAGTGCACCCCCTCGGGACCATAGGAAAAAAAATGAAACGAGTGCACTTAAAGAGGGTGTGCATTTATAGAGAGCAAATTATATAGGGTTCTTATAAGCTGGGACCAGACTATACCGTGCATTTAGAGAGAATTTACTTAATCCGTGCACTTAGGGAAGTGCACTTAGGGAGGTCTGACTGTATAATAAAAACATAAACATTAATTCAACTCATAGTATCAGTATTTGTCGTGCAAGCAAATTCAAGCATATTAAAGTTAAGCGCCAAGTCAAAAAAATTTATGAATCCAAAATTGTATATTATTATTTTTTTTATTTAGCAATAGAATGTAATTCATTAATGCTAATGTACACGGAAGAAATATTTCCATTATCAATAATGATAATAAAAGATTATGACGTAAAGCTAATTTTTAAAATGCAATTGATGTAAAGAAATTGAATCCACGCCTAACGTTAAAAAAATAACCGTAAAAATGATTTATTGTTAGATATCGAATTGAAAGAAAAAGAAAAATCTATCGAATTACAAAATCTATAATTATAGTATATATTTTAAAAACAAAATAATTTTAAAATATTTAACCTTTTCTGTTTGATTCAATTTGTTGTCTCATAATTTCGCTTTTATCATTTTGTATAAGTTGTTTAATTTATAATGACCTTTTATCGTATAGTTTTAAGATAAAATTGGGATATAAAACATGTTAGTTTTAGAATTTCTTAATTGATTCCTTTAATAATTATTCAATTTCTGGTTCCTGATAATTTATAGTTATTAGTTAGGGTTTCAAAAATATGCACGTGGGTGTTAAACGATGGATGATGATTGATTGGGGTGTACAACATCGGTCTAATTACAAACATAGTGCAGGTGATATAGTGCCGATCACTAATCGAGATTTTTTATAGTAAAAAACTTTTGGGGTAGAAATTCACTATTAAATATTATAAAAAACTACTTTTAATTCCTCACGGAAAATCTAATATTTTTTAATTCCAAAAAAAAAATTTAGGTAATTAAAGATGTCTTTTCAACGTAACAACGTTAGAATTTTTGTTTTACTAACGAAATAATTTTTTTTCATGGGTACAAGCTTCATAAATTTAGTCACATGATAGCAGATAGATCTTATGTTGTACGAAGAGATAACGATTTAGATCGATACTTTATTTATTCTTTAACGTTAATATCTAACAAATTTAAATTCTAGTAAGCGAATTTTCTTTATAGAAGGAACTTTTACCTGAAGAAAATATTCGAAATTACATATCTTTTAGAAACTAATAAATTTATCATATATGTAGTAAACCATGATTATTTAGATCGTGGCAAAACAGTAATGATGAATATAATTTTAGAAATAATTATATTAAATGTAACATACGAACTTGAAAGTTAAGTGTTTGCTATAGAAACTATTAATTTTTCGTTTTGAAAAATTTTTAAGAATTAATATTTTACAATTATATTTGTAGGATTGTGTATGAAAAACTAATTTTTATGTCTCCAAGTAAGAAAGTCACTAAGAATTTTATATACTTTTTCTTCTTTAGAAACCTTACTACTTTCTAATCATTCATTAACTCTCAAATTTCTAGCATTTTGCCTAGCATTGCGCAACATATCTTGCGAAATTTCTTGAATACCACCATCCAAACCAGAGAGTTGAATGCGTGATTCTTGTAGTTTAATATTCATATTTGGGTGGACTTTTATATCATATCGATTAAACATCTCTCTAATTGCTGTTGGTGTACTATGATACTCCAAATACAAAATTTAATGAATTCATAAATGAGAGAGAATTTAGCTAGCTCTGCTGTATCAGAATTTGCAAATGCTTCAAATTCTTCAAAAAAATCATGCTGTGTTAATGTTTTTAGTAATCCAAAGGTAGTTGGACGTCCCTTAGACAAATCTTCTTGTAAAAGGTTAGTATAAGAAATTTCTTTGGTAGTAGGGATTTTTGAGAAGGTTTTATTAAAAAAAACTTTTAAAAAAGTACGAGCAAATTCTGGTCCATTTTCACCACCTAATCAACAAACGCATAAAGGCAAGTGAGTCTAGCATTCCATCCATTTAATGAAACCATTTAACATATTTTCAATTCTAATGCGTAATGATTCATGAAAATTGTTCAATTCTATTATATCAAACTCATGCTTAGCATTAGCTAATTCATCTTCAAATAATATATAAATATTATTTAGATAATCTCGAAGCTCTTGAATCTATAAAATTACCTTATCTGGCATTTCATAAGCATGATTTCCTGGTAGTAAAACAGTATTCATATTATTTGGTTGACAAATATGTAGAATTGGGTCATTACCAATTATAAAATTATAGATGGGCTCATAAAACCTTTCACCAAACTTAACTAAACATTGAATTTAAAGATTAGGCCATTTATCTGTTAGCTACTTAAGGAATATTTGCCACTTGTATAAGTATGATTTTGGAATATTTTTGGCACTTTCAAGTTGCTCAATAAAGAACCGTGCAAAGGAAATATAAACTTCATGTCGGTAAGGTATTGTTTGGCAGTTTTAAGTTCATATAACCACCATTGACGAATAGGTTGTTGATACTTAGTGATTTCAAAATCAAACAATATTTTATAGAGCTTTGAAATGTTTCAGATTTTAGATTTAGAGGACTGTCCTTATCCGAACAATCATAACCATCATGAAGGTAAAAAGTGAGATTAAATAAATTATATGGGTGCTCTTTTAATGATAATCCTTTAACAGTATCTAACTTTCCAAACACCTTATTTTCAAAATTTGTTAAAGCAATGAGTTGCGTACAATCTACAAGGAATCTGAAACAACTTAGATGCTGCTAATAAGTTGAATTTGGCAACTGTACCATTAAATTCTGAGAACATATAGGCTGTGTTATCAGTTAGCCAAAAATGACATTTCTGAGAATCGATACATTTTTGTTGACACGTTTCAAATACTGTAGTCGAAACTGTTTTAGCATTATAGCGTGTTAGATCTGTTAATTTTACTACAGTTATTACTAGTCTTTTTTTAATGTTATTCCAATATGAAATACAGATAATTAGTATTTTTATTTCTTCTTTAGTGCTTTCATCAACTATTACGCTGTAGCCAAAAAATCTAGAACAAGTATTTACAGAACAATTTTAATTACAATACAATGCCACTATTTCATTATTTCATCGTGCTAAAGTGCTTGGTGTTACTCATTGTTGTGGTGTTTTTCTAGTTAAAAATTGATAGAAGGTTTTAGTACATTCTACTGATGCATGTATAGAGGTTTGTCCTATATTACTAATATCAGTGGCTAATTTTACAAACTTTGCACTATATTAACCTTAAATAATTTATTGGCTGCACGTTGAAATTGTGCAGGTTGAATTTGGTATGCTTTACGAATGGCTGCTCGAATTTTTGAAATTTGCTTTTGTTTGTTTTGCTTCGCTCTTGCCAATCGTACAGAAAGTGAACATATTTTGATACAGTTAACTTTGTTTATAACAAACTAACGAGTCTTATAGTAAAAATTTTTAAAAAG